CTTTGCTGGTTTATGCTGGTCATGTGCTGGCAAAGGACCAGCATAAACCAGCAAAAGACCAGCTTAAACCAGCATCCCAGCGTCAAAACATACCTAACCAGCATATGCTGTTTTTTTCAAAAGGGTGAACATGACAGTTATTTTTCATTAAAATTCTAAATCCAACAGTCAAATTGTTTGTTGCCGTTTGTCTGTGCGGTGTGAACTGGCTTTAAAACAAACTCAGACCAACGGAAACAATCGCCGACGGGTAACACACTGATCCAACAAATTCCGACAGTCTTGTCTGTTGGTGTTTGCTGGCATTTGTCTGTGCGGTGTGAATTGGCCTTGTGTGCAGTGTTTCTGTTGTTCCCTGAGCAACATGTGCACACAAACAAGTTGCCAGAACATTCTGACATCAAGTATTGAGGTTTAATGTACTGAAGTCTTTAGCTGAGTGAAATGTGCTAAGTTACATTAGTACACTCCTGAGTTAATTTTCGAGCAGTTTTTATTGAACAAGGTAATTGAGACTCAAGAATTACAGTAATGTAAACAAAGACAGCAGAGAGTAGAGAAGACACTACTGTTTGGTAAAGGTTTGATTTTTTTTTTTGCATGTGTGTTTTTAAAAGAAGTTTCTTGTGCTCACAAAAACTGCATTTATTGGATTGCAATATTATTATGCAATATTGTGAAATATTATTATGATTTAAAATGACAATGTAATTTCTTTCTGTGATGGAAAAGCTACATTTTTAGCAGCCATTACTCCTGTCGTCATATGATTTTTCGGAAATCATTCTAATATGCTGATTTGGTGCTCAAAAATCTTTGGCTTCTTCTTTATAAAAATAATAATTTATTTATGTTTTATTATTATTTTCAAAAAAATTAATTTCTTTTTGAAAAATCTTACAGACCCCAAACTTTTGAACTGTTGTGGGTTACACTTTACTTGAAGGGGTGTGCATAAGACTGACATGACACCTTCATAATCATGACATGACACCTACATAATCATGACATGACACATGTCATGAATATGAAGTTTTTTTATGCATGTTTATGACAACTCATTAAGTGTCATTCGCTCAGTTATGTAATTTTTAATGCAAAGATGACATTGTTTGAGATGTCTTTGTTATGGGCTATGGTTAGGGGTAAGGGTAGGGGTAGGGTTAGGTCAAATAATGTCATATTTGCATTAAAAATGACATAACTGAGCGAATGACACTTAATGACAGTTGTCATAAACATGCATAAAACCTCCTTCATATTCATGACATGTGTCATGTCATGATTATGAAGGTGTCATGTCAGTCTTATGCACACCCCTTCAAGTAGTGTTACCGTTGGCTGGCTTGCTCTGTGTTTCAGGGGAAGTCGTGGCCTAATGGTTAGAGAGTTGGACTCGTAACCTAAAGGTTGCGGGTTCGAGTCTCGTACTGGCAGGGATTGTAGGTGGGGGGAGTGAATGTACAGTGCTCTCTCCCACCTTCAATACCATGACTGAGGTGCCCTTGAGCAAGGCACTGAACCCCCAACTGCTCCCTGGGCGCCGCAGCAAAAAATGGCTGCCCACTGCTCCGGGTGTGTGTTCACGGTGTGTGTGTGTGTTCACTGCTGTGTGTGTGCACTTTGGATGGGTAAATGCAGAGCACTAATTCCTAGTATGGGTCACCATACTTGGCCACATGTCACGTCACTTTTTCACTTTTTTTTTTTTTCACTTTGTTGTGTAACTGTTAACTTTTATTTTCTGTTAATTTTGTTTAATGTATTATTTTAGAAAGTCAGGTGAAAGCAATGAAATAGACAGTATTTTTTACATTGAATTATCTATATTGGGAAGAGAGAGGATCAGCACCCTTTATCCAGAGATCATTAATGAACAACGGTCTGATCAAACACTGTTGTTGTATGTGTGTACAGGTATAATGTAGAGGAAGATGGCAGCTGTGACGACATGGATCAGGGGGATAACGGATGGAAAATCATCCACACAGATGTCTTTCGCTTCCCACCATATAAGAGCCTCCTGTGTGCTGTATTAGGGGTCGGGGCGCAGTTTCTGACTCTGGCCACAGGTATGACATACTACATTATAGAAATACACATCAAATATATATATAGATATATTTATACTACGTGTACTGCGTTAAGCTAACTGAGACTTGTTATAGCACTTGTATATCATTGCTCTTTTGTTGATTTTGATTGATTCCTTTGTCCTCATTTGTAAGTCGCTTTGGATAAAAGCATCTGCTAAATGACTAAATGTAATGTAAATGTAAATATATAAAAAATGAACACAAATTTTCATATGGGCACGCTATTTGTATATTTGTGTTATTTGAATATTTCAGAATTGCATCTCCATTTACTAATAAAAATTAATAAACTCATAAATAACATAAAATAATAGAATACTACAAATACTGATTGTATTATTAATCGTATCATTAATAAATTTGTAATAATTTAAAATAATTGTATAATTAATCATTAATAATGCAATATTTTGTTTTGTGTTATTTTCTCTGTCACTACTTTTCTGTTATTTGTTTAGATGATTTTGCAATATTTTGTCTAAAACAATAGTAGCAATGAAGTGCTTAAATATTTGGTTCAGAGCTGAGAATTGGGATGAAAATGAGAAGAGAGTTGCAGATATGAAGAACTTGACCTTCAGATAACCCATTGACCTTTTGGATCCTCTTTCCTGGTTTCTTCAGGAATCATTGTCATGGCACTGCTGGGGATGTTTAACGTCCATCGTCATGGTGCCATAAACTCGGCAGCGATTGTATTGTACGCTCTAACCAGCTGTGTGTCAGGTTACTGTTCCTGCAGCTTCTACACACAGATTCAGGGCCAGCGCTGGGTCTGGAATATTATCCTCACCTCCGCGCTCTTCTCTGGTGAGACACAACAGTCTTCTGCATCTGTACATATAGACAGAATGGGGTACTGTTTCTCCCAATGCAATGTGCTCAGTATGAATTTCCATTTCCGGTGTGTTTTAATTTTAAAGGTTATTGTAGATACTGTGCAGCATGCTAGTATTTCATTCCAAGTATAGCCCGTCATGATTACAGTGTTTTCATGAGCAGATGTAACTGACATTTCGCCCACTCACCGTTGCTCTCTTTGTTTTTCTCAATTCTACTTCTTTCTTTCTGATGCGTTTAGCCCCTCTCTTTTTCACCTGGAGTGTGGTGAACTCTGTTCACTGGTGGAGTGGATCGACTCAGGCCCTGCCTGCCACCACTGTGCTTCTGCTGCTTGGTGCCTGGGTGCTGGTGGGTTTCCCCCTCACCGTCATTGGTGGAATCGTTGGAAAGAACAGAGCAGGCAACTTCCAGGCCCCGTGTCGCACACGTAACATACCTCGCCAGATCCCCCAGCAGCCCTGGTACAAACACACGGCTGTGCACATGGCCATCGGAGGCTTCCTGCCTTTCAGGTAAAAGCTGTGAATCTCTGCAGAAGGTTTCCATACAATAGAATCTTTTCTTCCATACAAAATAAATTAGTCCAAACAAACAAATTGGCCAAATAAATCTCTCAAAAATTATTATTATTATTATTATTATTTTTTTTTTTACATTTAAGAAAACATTTTTATTATATTATAATATCCTGTTGTGTGTGTTTGCCATCCTGCTCTCAGTGGGCGCCTGCATCTCTGTGGCCCTCACCTACTTCCTGCTCTCAGGCGAGGACTACCGCTGGTGGTGGAGAAGTGTTCTTAGTACCGGCTCCACTGGCATCTTTATATTTGTTTACTCTCTCTTCTACTACCACAATCGCTCCAACATGAGCGGCCTTGTACAGAGCATTGAATTCTTCGGATATTCCTTGCTCACTGCGTTTGTTTTCTCGCTCATGCTGGGAACGGTCTCCTTCTGGGCTTCTCTGGCTTTTATTCGTTACATCTACCGTAGCCTTAAGATGGACTGAGTTTGTTTCCTCTCAAGCTGAGCCCCTCAAATGGGGAAGAGACTCATGGACCAGGTCCTCATGGAACCCTGCATGTGCAGGTTTTGTGTTGCTGAAGTATCAAACTATCAAAGCTGTTTCTGATGCCAGTCTTAAAAGGAAGGGAATAGACAATGTGACTGACTAAAGACTAATTTTATTTTATTTTGCTCACCAACACCCTGACACTTAATTCACATAGATATATATATAGTTGCTAGATTATATGCACATCAAATACAGACGTATTTGAGAGTCATTTTGGATCGTTTGTGCGGAATTGGAAAGCTTTTCATACTTCAAATGTTGCATACCAAGTATCCAAGACTTGAAAGTTCCGTTTTGGATTTTGTTAATGTAGTGAACATGACTAAAATGATTAAATGTCAGTTTCAAAACATAATGGGAAAGAATCAGAGGCCTTCATACGTATCTATCATTTCAAAAGACCATTGAGGAGATAAAGCACTTATATGTACTGTAGATGGGTTTACTTGATGATTATAGGTGGATGTTGGTTATATGGAAGGATATTATAATATTTGAGGTAAAGAGATGTGTCATATTGTTTTCAAAGGGTGCCGTATACACATTTTGACCAAAAGAGCAATTTTGGAGTGAAGATTTAACATGAGCAAGCTGAAGAAATGAAGAATTGATTATGGAAGCAATACCATGCTCTAAAGTCGCCATCAACTGTGATCTGTTGAAATGTAAATATACTGTTTTCAATAAAGTCACTTTTATTACGGTTAGAGAAATAAATGTGGGTGAAATGCAACAACGCTGGTGTCTATCATATAAATGTAAATTGAAAATGGCTGTGTAAATTGATTTCAAGCTCACTCTCAAACATGTCTTGCCCTTTTGACCCTTGTTCTTATACACCAGTGTTTCCCAACCTTTTTTTAGTCGTGGCACCCTTTGGAAATTTTAACAACTTTGTGGCACCCTACAAAATTAATTTTGTCACAATATTTGAATTTCTAACTTCGATATGATACTTTGAAAAGTATCGATATTCGGTACAGCAGGGAAGAACTGCAGAATGTGTCATATATGTGTGTGTGTGTGTGTCAGATATTTTTAATATTATTAATTTTTTTGTCCATGGAGGCAATCGGTAGGCTAATTTCTAATGAAGAGACCAATTTATATGAGATTTTAATGTAGGCTTTTATTCATATGTAAACATTGTTTAATTACCATTATAACTTAAACTATCTCACAAATTTTTGCTCACTCTGTATTTTTGATTTTACAGTTGGGTCATTTTGTTGCAGTAGCATGAGATAAATAAATTGCTTTTTAGTTTTTCAGGTCTAACAGTATGGCTATTAAGAGATTTCTTTTTTTTTTTTACCAATTATCCAAATAATGTTTAGTCCTAGAAAGCTATTATTATCAGAACACGTGAGCATAACATAGCGGTTAGCAGATCAATGAATGAGAGGGCAGCGTTACCAGAG